TCTCCGTCTCGCTGGTTCCGCGGGGTTTGCCTCGCGGTGCTCGGTCTTGTTCGTCTTGCGAAGCTGCTTGACCAGCGCGGCGACGAGCTTGTCGGTGTAGTTCTCGCTGTCCTTAGCGAGCTTGCCACGGGCCTCGACGTGCTTGTGTAGGCCGTCGCAAAGCTTGTGCAGCGAGTTGTCGATCCCGTAGTGGTCGGTGATGATCCTCCACGGCTTCTTGATCGCGTCCCCCTTCTTTGTCTGCAGGCCGTAGGCGCAACCATCGAAATCGATGATGCGCGGGAGCTGGTCCTTGAGCTTCTTCGCGGTGTAGTTCTTCTTCTGACCCCAGCCGTCGCAGTAGCGCGGCCACTCGAAGGAGACCGCGAGCTGGCTGCCAAACTCCTTCCGCAGGCGGCTCATTGATGTCAGGAAAAGGTCCATCATCCTCGCGGAATGCTTCCGGTCCTTCTCCAGCTTCTCGGCCTTGCCGGGGTCGATCTTCAGGATGATGCGCTGCAACGCGGTCCAGGGCGTGCATGGCAATGCGGCGTGGACCCGTACACTCTGGCCCTTCCGCAGGTTCATCCGAATCTTGCCCTCGAGCTTCTCGACGATGGGCTTCCGAGAAAGGTCGTATCCAGGAAGACCGCAACGTACAGCAGCTCCTCCACTCTCAGTCCACTTCGCACTGAGCTTGCTGTCTGGGTTGCAGCACCACTCGTAGAGGGTGGCGGTGTTGCTCGAAATTCCGCTCGAGCTTGTAGTTGATTTGGCCAGGTCTGCCTTGAGCGCCTGGCTGACTGTGCGCGGCTTGACGCCGCTCTTGTTGGTGACGATGGCCGACCGCTTGCCGGCGGTCAGCTGCAGCTTCGCCCCTTTCTTGAGCTGACGTACCTTCATCTGCTCTTCCTCCACGATGTTGACCTCCTTCGGGCCGTTGTCGTTCTTGATGTCCAGCGTGACCGAGTTGCCGAAAACACACTCGGAGCAGAACCCGAGGTGGTAACAGTCTGTGTAGGACTTGGTGCCGCAGGCCACGCAATCGTCGAGGGGCTCGGCGATGCAGGTAGTAGCCGAAATCATTGTTGAAGCAAACGTCGGCGGTGCGACCGCCGTCGAACAGCAGACCAACGCAGAGCTCACGGCGGCCATGAGCCTTGAGCTGCCACCGCGTCGCTGTTGAAGTCGTCTAGGTACGTTGAGCTCCTTCTTGGGGATGAGTCTCGTGATGTTCTCGAGCAAGTTGCTCGCCTTCGTAGTGAGGTTGACCGTGGGCTTCGGGGCTGGCCGCTTGGCGATGCCCTTAGTACTGACAGCCTTCGGTCCGAACTCGTGGCCCGCGCCCTTGATGGCGAGCCAGTCCTCCGGGTGGAGGTCGATCGCGGGATGTCCCGCGCTGCTCGTGATGAGCTTCTGGGAATGGTTCCCGATGCGGATCTGTTCCCGCCAGAGCGAGATGTCGATCTTGCTCGGCTGAATGAACTCCCGGCCGATAAGCAGGCCGAGCGTGGGACTGTCCACGACGCTGAATATTATGCGACCAGCGCGTCCACACAGGACGAGTGGGGCTGTGACGCGCAGCTTGCTCGGGAGCGTGCCGCCGTTCCCGAACCTGTAGACTTCGTTCTCGGGCTCCTCCAGGATCTGGTCGGCCAGACCCATCTTGGTGAGCTTCTTCTTGTACTGCTTGTACCAGCTGAGCCCGCCAACGCAGAAGAGACAGGCAGCGTCGATCACGCCAACACCGTCGTCGTTGGGCTTCTCGCCAGCGTTGGTGGTGTTTATGGTGGGCAAATCTGGCACCACGCGCTCGGAGACCAGGGTCTCGGGGGGCGGAGTGATCGGACCTTCTGGATGAAGAATCACTTCTTCGTCACCGAACTCCACGTGGTTCTGATCGTGGACCTGCTCGGTGATGTTGGCCTGGCGGTGCGAGCGACCTCCGCCGCCTCGTCCTCCGCCCTTCTGCTTGGAATTCGGGGCGAACTTTCGAGCGCCTGGTGTCGGGCACTCCTTGTCACCGGTCCAGTGCCCCGCCTCGCCGCAGCCCCAGCACTTGGAGTTCTTCTTGCGCTGGTCCACGCGGCCCTGTAGCTTGCCCGCGGGTCGGCGCTTAGGCGAAGCCTTCCCGCGGCCCTTGATAGCCTCCCGGGCCGACCGCATGGTCGCCATGGCTTCGGGAATCGCGGCGAGCTCCGCCGCGGCAGCCTCCACCTTGGCAGAGTCGCCCCTGTCGAACACCTCGCCGAGGTCGTAATTGGACTGCTCCAGCTCGGCGCTGAAAGCCTCGAGCTCCTGGCGCACGATGTCCTGGACGTCTGCTTCCGTGTCATTGTCGTCGCCGTCCTCCGAGTCCTCGTGCCCGTCCTCTGGCTCGTCAGCGATGTTGGTTGAACGTGCTCGGCTTGGCGATGAGCGCTGCCAACTACTGTTTGATCGCTGCGGCCACGATCGCGACGGCAAGCTTGCGCGTCGTTCCGATGCATGGATATCGGGGAACATGCGCACCAGCAGGCCCCTGATGCGCTGAAATGAGTAATGCTCGTCCGGCAAGTTGCCTACGACGCGCTCACGGCGCTCGGCCGTGAGCCCAGCCTTGCGTAGCAGGAACCAGCCGGCCACGTCGTCAAGCGTGGCGAGGTCAACCTCGTTCTCGCGTAGTTGTTGTAGTCCCGCTTCGAATCGCACGAGCCAATCCGTCATGCGTTCTCCGCGGCGGCGATGGTGCTGAGTCGACTCGAAGATCTTTTTCTAGCGTCTCTCCCTTCTGCACCGGCTTCTGCTGGCCTAGGTTTGTCTCGAGATGCTTCAGCACATTCTCGATGCCCTTCTGGTTGCGATCGCGCTTCTTCTCGTTCGCATCATCGATGTTGGCGTCCGGCGGCGGGTGAAGTTCCTGCTCCGTCATGTTGAGGGCAGCCGACCTTGCGGTACCCGTCAGCCGCAGGACTAGCTTCGATGCCAAACTTTGTGCCACTTCCAGATTCTCACTGAGCTTCCACAATTTTACTTCTTGCTTGTAATCTCGCCACTTCGCTGGATCTCCATTCCAGCTTGGTATCACTGACTGGTTGTGATTGAACTCCGTCATCTTGTCTATGAATGGACTGCAAAGAATACCAGACCACGAAATGGAATTGAAATTGAACTCGATGCCGTAATCGATGTCGGCGCCTGCCGTGTCGATGAGGTGGTGGGGAGTGACACCGTCGTAGGAGAAGTAGCTGGCGTCGCTGACACCGTCGTAAGAGAAGTAGATGGCGTCGCTGACACCGTCGTAGGAGAGGTATGTGGCGTCGCTGACACCGTCGTAAGAGAAGTAGATGGCGTCGCTGACACCGTCGTAGGAGAGGTATGTGGCGTCGCTGACACCGTCGTAGAGGAAGTAGATGGCGTCGCTGACACCGTCGTAGAGGAAGTATGTGGCGTCGCTGACACCGTCGTAGGAGAAGTATGCCGCGTCGCTGACACAGGCGTAGGAGAAGTAGCTGTCGTCGCTGCTGAGGGTGGGAAAGAAGATGGAGTAGCTGGCGTCGCTGACGCTGGCGTTGGAGTTGGCAGGGATGTAGGCGTAGTAGGCGTAGTCGCTGGCGTCGCTGACGCTGGCGTTGGTGCTGGCGTCGCTGACGCTGGCGTAGGTGCTGGCGTCGCTGACGCTGGCGTAGGCGTAGGCGCTGAGCAACAGCGCGAGGAGGCCGCTGGGCCTCGATTCCAATATGGAGTGCGACGTCGCGGACGTCGTCTTGGGTATACGGCCCCGCGGGCCGGGATAGCGAGCCTCGCTCCAAGCTACCACTGTGATATGGATATCGCTGATATCGTTTGTCGAATGATCGCGCGGCGAATCAATCTGCGTAGCTCTAAGGCCAAGGGCCCTAGTTCGAAACAAAACGGCAGCGACAAGGCGGGCATGAGGGATAGAGCGGGGGAGCAGGGAAGGAGCAGAAGGGCACGGGGAGTGAGCGGGAATCACAGTGGTAACATTCTGGCTGGCGAGGTGACCGACATGTAACCACCAACACCGAAATCTAGGATCATCTTCCACCTGTGGAGGCAACCCCCTTGTGTTGGTGTTGATGCCCGTTTCCAGGCCTCCAATATTTGGCGTTTCGACATTAGGCGGAAGGGGGGGGTCTGGCTCCGGACCTCTGCTGAGTGCGACTGTTTGCAGCAGTGCGTCCTGTGGGGGGGGGGCGCCGATCATGAAGCAGGAAAGCGATGTCAAAGTAGATCGGGTTTCCGCCCGCCCAAGAGGAGGGAGGAGGGGAAGCCCCTCGGCTCTTGGAATAGGCAGGCGCCTAGAATCAGGCTGGCATCTGGAAATTCCCAGATGCCAACTTTCAAGGACCGATGGGTATGGCAGGTTCGTGTCGTGTCGATCCCGGCGTCGGCTTCTGACACAGGGTGGATCGTTCATCCTTCAACCATCGGCCGTTTCCGAAACGTCAGATCCTTCCGCGTCGACCGATTCTGGGTCGCCAGCGGCGTTCAACGTGAAACGCCAGCGGCGGGATCGGCGCCAGTCGACACGACTCCGGCGTTGGTTTCTGACAGAGCGTGGATCGATCAATCTTGAACAATCGGCGGATTTTCGATCGCCAAATGGTTCCGTATTGGCCGATTCTGGGCCACTGGCGGGGTTGCCGCCGCATCGACACCGACTCTGGGGCATTTATCCGGGTCGGGGGGGAGGAGGGTGATTGACCTTCCGATGGAATTTGCCAATTCCCCCCCGCCCTCCCTCCTCCTCCTCCTCCTTCTCCGCCTCCGCCGCCTCCTCCTCCTCCTCCTCCTTCTCCGCCTCCTCCTCCTCCTCCTCCTCCCCCTCCTTCGCCTCCTCCGCTATACCCCTGGCCCCACTTCCCCTCCCACTGTACTGCCCGTCCTCCTCCGCCGCAGCCGCCGCCGCCGACGACGACGACGACAAGAACGAGAATCCAGCCGTGGTGACGCGGACTGTCCAGGATGAGCGGTATCGCTGTCTTTTCCTCCTCCGAAGGGCGGGCGGGGGTGCGGGCACGCGGATCCCAGGGCAGCGACGGGCACCGGGACCGCGCGCTCCAGCGAGCCGAGTGCCTGGGCGCGCGTCTGAGGGGCGAGGATAGGGTTGCGGATGCCACGACGATGGACACCACAAGAATCCGATCATTGATTGAAAAGTGTGTTTGAAATATGTTCTAGAATTTGTCGAACCATTGTCGTACATGTTTGAGACATGTTCAAGACATGTTTTAGGCATCTGGAAGAAATTATTTGGCAGCATGCTTCCTCTCCATTGATCGTCGTTCACAAGCATAGGGGGGGGGGGGGGGGGGGGGGGGGGGGGGGGGGGGGGGGGGGCCAGCCCAGGGGGGGAAACCTCGAGCGAAAATCGGCGATACATCGCTGGCAGGTCGGTGATAGGTCCCCGATGGTGAATCCACACGGGTTTCTGGGCGGGGTGGGGCTATCGTTAAGTCGGGCCTGAAACAAAAATGGGGACGATTTGCTGACTATGTTTGAGCATTTTGGGGGATATTCTGTATTTGTCGTCCAAAATCCGCTTGTAGGGGGGGGCACGCCCGACCGAAGGCTGTCGGGCCCCCATCGGCAAGGAGTAAGTCGATGCAACCCCCCCCCGCTGACGCTTAGGTATCCCACAAAGGACGTGCGCGCCCGACCGCGCACATGAAGACGGCCCCCCGTCCGCGAGACCAACCCCGCGACCCGAACGTTCGCGCAGTGCGCACTCTCGAAACCAGCGTGGACTCATGTACATGTACGTCCTTCTTTCGCTCCTGAAATAGAGGCTTCCTCGATGGGGTCCGAGCAGATGGGGCCGAAGGATCGCGCGGCATCACCGACGCATCGGCGATGCATCGCCGATGCGTTGGCGATGCACCGGCGACGTCGGCGACGCATCGGCGCCGTCGGCATTGATAAAATCGGGCCCCACATCGAACCGCATCGCCGATGCATCGGCGATGCGGGGCGATCGTTCGAACCCATCTACTCGGAGCCCACTTGAGAGGCCTAGAGTGTGCGTCCTTCTGTCGCTCCTGAAATTTATCCCGCCCCTGTATTACATGGGAGAAACGGGTCTTCAGGACGAGATCTTCACCCCGAGCCGTTTCCTGACCGTCCCGGGGCCCATGGAGGGCCCCGAGAGCCCGAAAACAGCAGAAAACCTCAGGACCCGTTTTCCTCAGGACCCGTTTCCCCCCATGGCGACCGTCGTTGCCCCTGCTCGGGGGCGTCCAAGAGGGGGGCGTCCAAGAGGGGGGGGCGCAGATCGTGCCCGGCGGCATGTGCGCGGCCCAGGGGGGGGGGGCAGGGACGCCAATGAAATCTCGAAAAGTATCATCGCCCCCGCCAAGATCCCCCCCAACCCTTACGAGGCGACTACCAGGAGGCCTTCGCCGGAAGGACTAACGAAGATCAAGCCCCATTGGGGGGCTGCTACTCCGGATCAGGCCGCGGATTAAGCGGGATCAAAAGCCGGATTCAGCGGGATCAAGCCGGATCAAGCGGGACCAAGCCAGATTGAACCAGACTTCGGACCAGGGAGAGGAGGAGGAGGAGGAGGAGGAGGAGGAGGAGGAGGAGGAGGAGGAGGAGGAGGAGGAGGAGGAGGGGGAGGAGGAGGGGGAGGAGGGGGAGAAGGATTTGTCACATCCACGGCAACTGGGGGAAACGAAAAAGAGAGGGCCACAGAGGGAAAGGGGAAAAAGGGCACCGATCACTCATCGGGGGAGATCAACCAGGGCCCAACGTCAACTGTAACACCGTCGAGCCTGGGACGCCAAGCCGTGGAGATTCGTTTCCATGAATGTGTCCTCCCTTGGGCCCCGCTTTGGGGAAGCGGTCGGCACACATTGCGTAGTCGTAGTCCACGCACTTGTCCGCCGCACGCGTAGCACTTGCAGCGGCAGCAAACAAGCACAGAAGAGTGGCCTGAGCAGTCGAAGAAAACCATCGAGTGCCCGAGGGGGGAGGAGGCGGGGCCCGTGAAGAACCGCAGGTTGCGACCCCGGGGCCACCGTGAGAACAACCAGGAGAAGACGTCTGGTCGGCCCTGGAAGCACGGAAACGACACGCACCCTGCCGGAACCTGCCCTGCCAGCTCCACGGATGCCCAACTGCACGTCTCTGCTGCCGGGCTTGCCTCACCAGAGGAACGTCAAGTCGAAACGGGGCCACAGAGGGAGAAGCGCCCCAGCAAGATCACACACACACACACAAGCCTCGAAACCAGCAGGTGCTTGCAAAGTTTCTCGATATGATCGGGGGTTGGCTTCGGGTGCCGTAGCGCTGCCGTCTTGGCAAGCTGATCGGCCACGTCGTTGCCCGCGTCATAATATCTGAGCGCGTATGTCACTTCAGGGTAATATATATATATATATATATATATGTACAGCGTGACCCACCACCTGCACAACAGACTCGAGCCCAGTCGGCTGAAGGTTAATGAAAGCACCACTATAAACTCCCTTGTAGGAAAGCTGTTCCCTAGCTGGAAGGTTAAACTGGTGAACCACGTTAGCGCAATCCGAATTCCCCCTGAATCCAGGAAGGGCAAACTGTCCCGCGGCAGAAATAGCAATGAACTCGGCGGCCTGGGGCGTTTGCGTATCGGAACCCAGATAGGGCCGTTGGCAAGACAGACTACTTTTCGTTCCTCGTTATAAACAACGAACCCCATCCTCCCCTGGACAACTCAGGAACCACATGCTTATAATATCTTTCGAAGAAGAGATCGCCCTGGACCTCCAACTCAACGGGGTCCTCATTTTCTCTCCCTGGCCATTCTACCATTAGCCCTCCTGCATTCAACGGACGAGGGAATGTCTCGCCAGGGTGCCCGAAGATCCCCCTCAGGAACAGTAGCGTGGTCTCTGGGTCCTGAAAATTCACCGTGGACATATCAGGCCCTTGATCTTTGAGTCGCTCGAAAACTTCCTCCCACTCCACGGAACAAGCAGAACAGAGATACAACCGATGCTCCAGGGATTCCTGGGCTGCCTCGCAAAGGCTCCAAGAGACATCCTCCAACAGATATCCACGCTCCACGGCTACCTCCTCAGTCCACACAGCCCCACGACACAATGCCTTGATGCAGCCCGCAGCACAGCAGCCCCCACGACCTGCGCCGCCGCGCCGCGCCGCTTCCCGACCCATGCCATCGTGCACGCGGGCAGCAAGCACAAGAAGATGAGTGAAAGGGCGCCCACCACCGCGGGGATGACGAGCTGCGTGGGTAGGCGTGGCAGCGCGTAATTGCAGCACTGCCAGGCTTGCTAGCAAGGGCCGCACGCACTGGCCGGCGGCCGCGGGCAGCAACGGCTCGGCGCTGTCTCTCTCCAGTGAAGCACCGCCTTGACAAAGGCTGGGCTGCTCAATGCGACAAGAACTGCAGCCCCAAAATCGTCGACCAATTCCACGAAGGATTTAATTGTCCAACCGATACGTTTGAGGGACATGAACATCGCTGACAATGGGCCCGATCACGGCCCTCCAGGATTTCTTCTTCGGAACACCGTTGCCGAAAACCTCCTCCCATCCTTCACGCAACTGCTGAAAGCTCAAACAGTGGCGGCAAGCCTTCTTCTGCACTGCCCACACCTCCTTGGCGTAGCGCACAACGGGACTCACCGCAGCGTAATAGCACGGGTTTCGCTCGACGAGGGGCAAGCTCGCGAGGGAGCGCTGGCCAGCACTAGGTTGACAAGATGCTCCAAAGGTCCGTCTCGTAGAGTGCAGCTCATGGTCAGGGAATCCCCTGATTTCGCTCCCAAAAACCACTCCATGTAAAGGGGTAAGTCTGGCCAGTTTCTTTTTCAGCGAGGTGAGTCGCAGCTTAAATTTCTTGGACCGTCCTGCACGAAAACATTACCACACGAGTCGTCGCAGCCCAAATTGGAAGCAGGGGTACCAGGTTGCCCCGCTAGATCTCCTAGAGCTGCGCGAATCCTGCAGGCGAGCTTAGCGGACGAGGCCACGAGCACAGCCTTGTCAGCCGATACATTGCAACCTAACTCGTTGACAATAACATCGTATTACATGCGTGAAGCCCCAACAAAGCCTGCTGAAACTTCGTCAACGTTCCGCTGGCCCGAAATCCCATTGTCGTCGATGTAGATGTCTAGGAGTTATACAACGCGGCACACAGCACATCACATTATCAATACTGGGTATCACGAATACACGGATAAGAGTAGTAGAGGTAGAGCATCCCGCTACGAGCCCTCGTATAGCGTAATGTGGACCAGTCACCACTCCTCCCATACAGAGGAAACGAGGACTATGGCAAAATGCAATACAAGGCCTAGCCAGCTGCAACGGAAAACCCACCTGAATAAAACGCGTGTACAACTGTTTCAAATCAATCAGCTCGTAAAAATTGTAGGTCCCAGAACAGAGTCGCAGCCGTGGAACCCTTCCTCTTAGCAATCTCCGAACGGAAAGTCTGACGCCACACCGTGTCGGATGCCGAAGCGAAGCTGCTGCCTGCAAAATATTGTCGAACATTATCCGCCTCCCACTTGGATGCAAGACCCCTGCGACATCGGCCCCACAAACGGAAAGCGGAGACAAAGATGCCAATAGGGAGAAGGAGGAGGAGGAGGAGGAGGAGGACCAGGAGGAGGAGGAGAGAGGAAGAGGAGGAGGAGGAGGAGGAGGAGGAGGAGGAGAAGGCAGGAGGAGGAGGCAGGAGGAGGCCCCCAGCCCGGCGGGCGCCCCTCGGGCACCGAGGCCCGCCCTTTCACCGAGGAGAGAGAGGAGGCCGGCGGCGGGGGTAGCTCGGCGAGGCCCGCCTGCGGCGGCGGCACGCCGGAGCCCACCGAGGGCGCGTAGCCCGCCGCAGGCGCGCGGGAGCCCACCGAGGGCGCGTAGCCGGGAACGCCTCGGCCCCCAGGCCCCCCTCCTTGCCAGCGCTCGGACGTCCACTCCCCGTGCCTTTGTCGGTTTCGTGCGTGTGCTTCTTTCTCGTTCCTTCGGCCGCGTCCTCTCCCCGCTCCTCCTCTTGCATGGTGGCGCGGTTCACTCTGACGGCATCCCCGCTTGAGCCCCTCATCGCCAGCGCAGTCACCCTCTGCCTCGCCGCCGACGCAGAAGAAGCTCCTCGTGGGTCCTCGCCGAGAAGCAATGATGATGATGATGATGATGATGATGATGATGATGATGATGATGATGGTGATGATAATGGTGATGATGATGCTGATAATGGTGATGATGATAATGATGATGATGATGATGATGATGATGATGATGATGATGCTGATGCTAATGATGCTAATGGTGTTGATGCTGAGAATGACGATGGTGAGGATGATCATGATGGTGACAAGCATGATGGTGTTGATGATAACAATGATGGTGCTGATGATGGCGATGATGTTAATGATGATGATGCTGATGATGATGATGTTGGTGATGAAATGATAATGAAGATGGTGATGATGATGAAAGTTGTGATTATCATGATGATGATGAAGGTGGTGATGATGATGGTGCTGATGATGACGATACTGATGATGAGGGTGGTGATGATGATGATGATGATGATGCTGATGATGAAGATGGTGATCATGATGCTGATGACATGATGGTGATGGTTATGATGATGAGTATGATGATGCTGATGATGCTGGTGGGGTCTAGGGCTCCGGGCGTGTTGTGTCCTGCGATGCTGCCGATGTTTCGCTGCGTCGGCTCTCAGGCCTTGCTCGGGGCAGAGCTCCACCTCCCCTCGTAGAGTCATGTCGGGTATGTCCCCCTACCGTCACATTCTGAAAGAAAAATGAACCCCCCCAAAAAAAAACTTCACAAAAAAACTGAGACAAAAATCGTCCCGATACCATGATCTGTATATTTCTGAATATTTCTCCTGTAGAGAGACATGCCCGACTTAAGTCTAGGGCTCCAGGTGTTATGGGTGTTTACGATGCTGCAGATGTTCGGCTGCGTCGGCTCTCAGGGCGTGCTCGGGGTAGAGCTCCAACTCCCCTCGTAGGATTAGGTCGGGCATGCCCCCTTACAGGCGGCTTTTGGAAGGATAAATGTCAAAATAGTTCTAAATAGTCCCAAGATTGTCCCCAGACTTTTCTGCTGTTTCGGAATCTTCCTCCTGTAGAGGTACACGCCCGACTTAATCGTAGAGGCCTCCGGATGGGGGTTGGACCAGATGGGGTCGGAGGGTCGTGCCGCATCGCCAATGCATTGGCGACGCATCTGTGACGGCGGCGGTGTGTTGGCGACGCCGGCGCGGAAAACATCGGCCCGCCCGCTCCGCAGAGGCTCGGGGCAGCGCTCCACCCACCCTGAGATCCTGGCGCTGCAGCTCCGTCACGAGGGGCGCTTTCGCCCCCAGGTTTCGGCAACGTCAGATCTGCGGGTCCCCTCGTCGTGCCCCAGATTTGGGCTGCCAAGAGCTCTGACTGGGGTTGCCAAGAGCTCTGACTGGGGTTGCCAAGGGGGCTCTGACTTCAGGTTGCCCGTGCTTGCGCTTCGGGGTTCTCTGACTGGGGTTGCCAAGGCATCGGATGGGCCCAGCGAGGCGAGGAGGAGGAGGAGGAGGAGGAGGAGGAGGAGGAGGGGGAGGAGGAGGAGGAGGAGGGGGAGGAGGAGAGGAGGGGGAGGGAGGAGGAGGAGGAGAGAGGAGGAGGGAAGGAGGGGGAGGAAGGAGGAGGGGGAGGAGGGGGAGGAGGAGGGAGGGGGAGGAGGAGGAGGAGGAAAAGACAGATGACGCCACGGCGCCGCCTCGTTGCCGCCTCGTTGCCGCCCCGTGCGCCGGATTGATCCGGCAAGGCGTCGCCACGTTGCCGCCCGTCGCTGCCTCGTTGCTTTGAGTCGGGCCTGTCCCCCTACAGGGGGATGTTGGACGAAAAATTAAACATACCCCAAAAATACTCCAAAAATGATCGAAAATATAAGAAAAGGAAAAAAAAAAATGGATGGTCCCCAGACTATTTTCGAATATTCCTCCTGTAGAGGGACAGGCCCGACTTAATCGTTGCTGCCCTGTTGCCCCCTCGTGCGCTGGGTGGGTCCGGGTTTCGCCCCTGTTGTTGTCCGTTGCCGCTCCATTGCCGCCTCCAGCGTGCACCACGTTCACTACACCGAATCTTGCCGTCGCTCGGACGTCCATTTCCCGTGCATTTGTCGGTCTTGTGCGTGTTTGTGTTGCTCGATGGTTCAGGATGGTCCTCGATGGTTCTCGCCGAGAAAGAATGCACACGTCCGAGCGATGCCAAGGAATAGCTGACACTACATAGCTTGCTCCACACAGCTTAATCGTCCACAGTGCAACAACTTGCTGCTTGGGGTCCACGCTGGCCAACGTGAAGGAGAAAAAAAAGACACTGCAAGCAGATTGTTTGGTTTGACAAGTTATCTTGCCTCTTGAGAGCCATCCTCGCTGGGCCCCAGAGCGTCGAGAATCGACTCGGGACGGGTCCACGCTGGCCAACGTGAAGGAGAAAAAAAAGACACTGCAAGCAGATTGTTTGGTTTGACAAGTTATCTTGCCTCTTGAGAGCCATCCTCGCTGGGCCCCAGAGCGTCGAGAATCGACTCGGGACGAAAATCCGGTCCCAGGGAGGGGGTCCTGGGGTGCGCGTTACGAAAAAAACACGACAACTGAATTCTGGGGAGGTTCAGGCACTGTAGCGTCTGAAGGCAGCCCAAGAGGGACCTGAATGCTTAGACCAGGTCGGAGGATCCCAGCGCATCGCGATGCAAAGGCGACGTCGGAATAGAGAAGGCCGTTGTCTGCATCGCGCTGCACTGGCGATGCGGCGCGATCTTCCGACACCGTCTAGTGAACGTTTTCTTATTCGGCGTTTCGACATTGGGCGGAAAGGCGGGGAAAATGGGGGGGGTCTGGCTCCAGACCTCTGCTTAATGCGACTGTTTGCAACAGTGCGTCCCATGGAGGAGACCCCACCTGCTCGAAAAAGGCGCCAGAAACAGCCAAGATCTACTCCATAGGGGGGGGTCAGGGCCCGCGCCGATCGGCAGAACAACGAATAAGAAAACGATCACTACTCGGAACCCCGTGCAAATAATTGTGTTCGCCTTCCCCCCGTAAGATTGTTGCCGAGGGAGGGTCGGGAACCCGTGGCGGGGTCACAGTAATCAGGCGGGCGCGGGCATGATACCCAGCGGCCGCGGCGATGACGAGCGACGGCAACGACAACGACAACCACAACGACAACGACAACAACGACACAACGACACAACGACAGAATGACACCACAACGTCAACCACAACGACAACGATAACAACGGCAACGACAACAACGACAACAACGACAACAACGACAACAACGACAACAACGACAACAACGACAACAACAACAACAACAACAACAACAACAACAACAACAACAACAATCATTTTACCCGAACGCGTGGTGTTCTCCCCAGTGCCAGGGTTTTCATACGACACCAGGCAATACCCCCACTTCGTGGGGGGGCATTACAAGCTCTACCAAATATCCAAACGACTCTTCGCGACCACCCAAACCCAGCTTCCCGCCCTATGACGTTGGGACACTTCACTTCGTGGCGTGCGGACGACCGTGGCTACTACACTGGCGTGGGGTACACACCCACAGAACCCAATGGTTTTTGGAGATTTCGGCGTGCGCGCGCGAAGAAAAAACGAATGTGTCCCGCATGGTATTATTTGACAGGGATGATGGCCCTGGCAGGTGCGCAACCGTTGTCGCAGAAGTTCGAAAAAGTTGCTCGCAAAAGCCCGTTTGACAGAAATGTTTAAAAAGTGTTGGGTTTCCTACGAATCCGCAAGAGCGCGCGGGATGAGATTTTGACATTTTTTTGTTGAAAAACCATTGGTTTTTTGATGTTTTTATGTTAAAATCGCTCCGAACACTAAGCTTTTGGAAGGATTTCGTCTTGCGCGCGCGAATGTCCACTTTACCTTATTTTTTGCAAGGGATTCTTGAAATTTGATTATATTAGAACAAGAAATGTCATTTTCTATTGTTTTTTGCAAGGGAAAACGGATTACAACAAAACAACCGGATCTGTCACATCGTTTTACCTGAGGCTTCCTCACGAAAATGATGAAAATGTAGCTGCGGCCTAGGCGGCGCAGGGGGGGCGCGCACCAGGGGGCCCAACAATAATTATTCTTTAGAATAAATAATGTTCAACAACAACAACAACAACAACAACAACAACAACAACAACAACAACAACAACAACAACAACACAACAACAACAACAACAACAACAACAACAACAACAACAACAACAACAACAACAACAACAACAACAACAACAACAACAACAACAACAACAACAACAACAACAAAAACGGCATAAACGACCACAACGACAACGACAATAACGACAACCACAACCACAACGACAGCAACGACACAGCACGCCTGTCAGCACCACCTCCTGCCCGTGAACACAACGTCGCCACTGTGAGGAAGACGACATCTGTGCCGCTACGCGCTGGGGGTGGGACCCCCCGGTAACGGACGTCAAGGGTTCACCGAATACCAAGCGATCTCCATGTGGGCGGCGTGGAGCGTCGCGGGCGGGCGGCCCCACAGCTCGGGCGGCTCGACAAAAAATACACGCCAGAGGCTCCTTCGCCATGCCCGGCGGCGAAGAGGGGGCCGGGGGGGAAGCCTCCTCCTCCTCCTCCTCCTCCTCCTCCTCCTCCTCCTCCTCCTCCTCTCCTCCTCCTCCTCCTCCTCCCCTCCTCCTCCTCCTCCTCCTCCTCCTCTCCTCCTCTCCTCCTCCTCCTCCTCCTCCTCCTCCTCCTCCTTCCTCCTCCTCCTCCCCCCCCCCCTCCTCCTCCCTCTCCTCCTCCTCCTCCTCCTCCTCCTCCACCTCCTCCTCCTCCTCCTCCTCCTCCTCCTC